ATCGAATTCAATCATTCTCCACTTCAGTTGAAACCTCGAAGTATTTCATGCCGTTAAGACAGTGGTTCTCACAGGTGTGAAATTATCCATTTTGGATGATTTGGAGGTGTTAACAGGTGATGGGGGAGGTCGGGAAGCGAGGATTTCGTGCATTTGCTGTGTTATGATATAACGCCATTGTGGTGGTGTTTTCTAACTTGGCTTAGCAAGGTTTTCATTCTTTTCCGAGCTGTTACAATCGCTCTCATAGCTTTTATCACCAAAAGTGTTCTCTTCTGCTAATTTCTCATTCGTTTCATTCGACAATCAAAGTCAGATTCTCATTCTATCAAATACACTCTATAATCGATTATTAGACTGTCGAACAATCGCTGTATTGTTGACTTCGGCTGTCAACACTCGTCAACGTATCCAGTAAATAGTGTATGTTATAGAATGAGAAATTGCGACGTGAAAAGAGACGAAGTGAATGAGAAAAACTCATCAATAGAACGCTATTCGCATGTAATAGCTATGAGAGTGAATACAACACGTCTGAAAAGAATGAGAATCCATCTAAATCAGTTTAAAGTGAACGTGTCCCAGCCAATAGCTTTTCATGCAGTCATAATCGATTGCAATAATAAGCAACACAACGATCTAGGACGGTTTTGATGTGCATAATTGAATATACAGTTACCTGTTCGATGGCCGATTTATTCCACCATGGACTTTTGAAATCATTTGCGAATGGATTAAAAATTTTGAAAATGAAGATGATTCGGCATAGCGCAATGCAAGTATAACACAGTAATAGTTTTCGCTACGATGCAAAAATAAGTCATCGCCTAATTGAGGTAATTTGATGTGAAACTTGTATGCTATCGAGCTCACAATATATGCTGACATCACTGAATGCATTCTAACGAACCCAACTTGTGTGCTCCTATGATGTCACTAATTGAGTTAATCATCACGGAATCGCAACAAAAAACATCGCTTTCTTTATCTTCACCGTGACTTATTGTGTTTTCACAACTACTTGAATCAACTGAATGTCACCTATACGATATCAAAATGGAAATCTGCAACGACGAAGCACATATTTGCATATTGCCAGACATTATAACATATAAATGAGAGCTGTTCGTGGGCAAGGTGTATTCTTATCGATCAAGTCTGGAAGTGTGTCTGTCTGGTTGAATAGTGCGCTCAACTTTTTCAATGATATCAATCATTGGAATAATCCAAGTAGAATTTCGATTCATTTTTCTCATAATTGAACGAAACTATCGATTTCAAATGGAACATATTCGTTTCGGGACTGAAAGTTGAGGTTTTGAACGAATTTCAATGTACCAAAGTCGAGAAATACCCGCCGTTCCAACATAAAGGACCGAGTGGAATGAGCAAACTTCTTATGGGAACAGTGCTGCATAAAGAACATGATTGATAATCGTAGAGTGTCCACGTTGATCTGCGACATTCATGGACCCCCTCTAATGAATGAATAAGTTTTCATGAGAGATGACGATTCGATTGCGATGTGTAAAGCTCATTGAGCAATGAAATGTTTTTGTTATCTTTGAGTGTGAAACTCACGCATGTATCTAGAAGTCATATTTCGAAGGAGAAATTTTGTGAGAGACTCAATCGACTCATAAATCAAAGTTTACAAGTCAGTTTATAAGGCATTGATACATGTCGTAATGAATTTGCATGTATTTAAGTGGATTCTTTGCATCATTCTATTCATATTCGTCTGCGCGGTATTATATATTCTTCGTTATCGACGAATCAGAGAATGCCCTCAACGCAGCATCATCGAAGTGCCGAGCGCTACCATCGTACGATCTTTTGAATGCAACAGACAATCGTACTTAGGATACCAACAACCTCAAGTTATGCCACGTTATGATGGCACATTCAGACGGAATATGGTACGTTCAATAACCACGCAACAGTGCATTCATGTCACTGTTGATTCTTGACTAACGAACACTTCGTATTATTGAACGTTGTTAACGTTGCAATGAGCATGATCAATGTTTGTGAATGATTGCATGAGAAAATTGATGCTATGATGATCATGTCAGCTGATGAACTGATTTCGGTTATTCTATCATTTCAACAGCAATCTCAAAATCAACCATTTTGTCCAGTAACCATTTTATCTTTCATGTTCATCTAGCAATTCAGGAACTTTTTTTTGAAGTAGTGAATTCAGATTATCGTGCTGACTCAGTCGTTCATCATGGGTTTCAACCACAGTAAAATTCAATCGTCGATATGTTCCGATTTTGAATTATTCCGTTCATGCCTCTGATGTTGAATAACGATTTTGATACCTAGTGAAGTGATGATAATTTCCAGAGATGGTGAACTTGTGGTAATGATCACTGAACTAACGCACATAGAAAATGCTGTTTATTTCAAGCAGACATGATTTCGTTCGCATATATTAGTTACTATGGAGATGTATTCGGTTTGATGTCGATTAGAAGCGCTCGAAACAATACTCATTTGATGTCATTACTATGCAAGTTATAATTCATGAATTCATAAAAAAAGTGAGAATGTGGTCAATAATTAATTTACAGTCTGTTCGAAGCCTCTAATTCATTGTGGATCTTAATCAGTCCTGATTTGATCTCTGTATTTGGTCGTATCACTGATAATGTAATGAGTTTGATGATGCAAATCAGAGTTTTCGTGTGTTTGCCATAAGCAGAACATATCCCTTCAGATTAGTTTCCCTGACATGCTGTATATTATTGATGGGAACAGTTATCGGTCTCCTCCCAAAATGATTAAGTCTAATTAAAATGAATACCATTAAGAATCGATGTGCTATCATAATGGAACAATTAATTAATTTTATCAGATGATTCATAGAAAAATACTAAAAATGAATCTTGTGAGGAAATTTGAACTGGTGCAGTTCACTGCTGGTCTCATGTGGCCACATACGCAGTTATTCGTTAGAGCAGTCGTGCACATTCGATGGAATGTCGCATGATGAAAAGCGACCGTTGAATACTTTTCCTGAAAACAATGCTTCATGATATCAGAACAGCTAGATGACTTGTTCTCGCTGATTCTGAGCTGAAAAGAAGAGTGGAAAAATTGATATATCAGTGCTGAAATGAGATGAGAGAANATCTGCTTGAACTGTTTCATCACAAGATCTAATTAAAGATGGTTATTAATAATTGGAATTCAAATGAATCACTCGCTTTGAGCAATCAAATAATGAACAATTCGATTGGAATTGGTGAGAATTGAGGTTTTTAGTAATGAAATATGCCAACCTTCTGGACATACATATTTCAACGTTATTTGGTTGACACATATGAAATAGTTTACAGAACAGCCATTAGAATACACTCCGTCTGGTTTCGAGGCACAAAAATCTGCAAACATTTCGACTTCTAATTTTTTTGGTTCCCTGGATTATATTGTAGAATGTTTTCGAGAAAATGACTTGTTCCCTACTAAATTCTTCTGCTCCTCTAATATAATTTGGCGTTTCAAGAAGTTATTCGTGCAGAATTACTGCTTCCATTACCGTTGCGAGAGGGATCTCGTTGTTGTGAAGGCTTTTTTTGTTGGGGTTGCTTTCGTTCCTGTGGGACCTGTTGTTGAGCTGATCTGGAACGCAAAACTTGCTTTATTATATTTTCAGTAATGCAAATCCATTGCTCTGTTGACTGCAACATAAATTTTCTCACTATGTCGAGACATTCCGTTGATCCGTTATTCAAAGCAATGATAAGCGTAAAACATGACCATAACGTCAGATGCGTGTTACGTGATAACAATTCTTGTGAACGATCACAGGACGACGCTTCAAAATACAATAAAACAGTCGTCAGTCAACTTACGGCACTTTTGCAGGCTCCGCTGCTCTGCAGGCGGGTACATTTTCAGCATAATTGCACACTTTCATAACGGAATCGTATTTGAGATTTGCGGGACACGTGAAAGTACTCATAGATCCTCCGGCGCATGCGTAGTAGTTTGCGCTACATCCGATTGAATAGAAACCGTCCGGTTTATTCGTACAGTCCATTTCTAGAATTGCATTTCACAGCTTTCATCGCTTTACTTTTAGACAGAGTGCTCTGTTGCAGAAAAATAAAATCGAAAACCCGAATGGTCACTTCCAAATTGCTTGCACAAATACATTCCAAGCAACACTGATTACTTCATTAGGCTCGGTTTCCACAGAAAAAATTTTCAGTTTCAACTAAACAAATAATTATAGCATTAGCACGACCTTTTGCAGGAGTTGTGGAGATTGGTTGTTGTATGATGACAGGTCCGGGTTCTAACGGAGGGAAGCCCTCTGCGGCTACTGGTGCTATTTGACTAGGCATAGGCGTGTTTGGATTCACCGCTCTAATGCAGTTGTCATAATGATCACATAAACCCATCATACGATTGTACACCAAACCGTTGGGACAGGATTGCTCGTAAGCAACTCCCTCTGCACAAAACGTGAATTTGAGCTGTAATGGTGTATAGCAATCAAAGAAAATGTCAAAAAAGCGAAGGGATTCAGATGAAAATTGCCTTATGTGACGATATTTATCTTCATCTAGAACGCATTCTCCAATGACAATTCTTCTCATATGGAATAGTTATCATATCAGTAAGTAGTATTCAGGTAAAGAACGACTTGACTTATTGCAAATTATAAGAAATTTCCAAGAATTTATCAATTCGATATATTTCATCCCAATTATAGGAGCAGCGAACCAAACATCGATTTATTATTATCACTGAAATAACCAAACGACTCACAGCACAATCTGTGTTCGCATAACGACCGTTCGGTTTATTCAGACAGTTGATTTGATTTTGAAATAGTTGAGGTTCACGCTGATATGACACTGAATCTGACTGATCTTTCCTTGTCAGTTGTTTTTTGAATGCTCTTTTGCTATCGTCGCTAGCCACACTAAATGTACGCCTTTTAAGTTATAACTAAGATTAAAATGAACTGGTTACATCAACATAATCGTGTCCCTGCCCAAATGTCGTCTTATCAATCAACTTGCAGTTAGCATTTAAACGAATATGATTGCAACTGATCACTGTTTTGATATGGATTAAGAATATTATTGGAAACAAACGCGGTTATCGGCTGGAATTGATTGCATTCTGCAATGGACGACTTATGGTCACATTGTTTTGTGTTCCTGTTATAATAAAGTCCTCTCGGGCAAGCTGATTTGAACGTTCTACTGTTAGTGCACATCCAGAAGAAATCAACACAGCCCTGATCTTGTGGTGAATAAACACCATCCGCCTTGTTGAGACAAGAAAAGCCTTAAATCAAATTTATGTTTTATAAATATCACTGCACCGATAGGCTACAGAGATTTCATGATACAGGATGAGTACAAGTTGAGTGGGTCTGAAACGCAAAACCATTCTTGATACTGAATCATTTCATGGAACGGCTGGAAATTTTCAGTTTTAGACTGTAGTGGTAGGAAAACGTTTTGAAAGTTGAAATGTTCTGTTCGAGGAGAATGAGCGAAAAACTTGATGTTGTGTACTTGGGAAAGAGTCTGATTGAGTGTGTGTTTGTTGAGGTAATTGTGATTGTTGTGTTTGGTGTTGCACTGGCATTTGAACATCCATACCAGGTAGTCCATTGCTGAATTATTCGATGAATTACTATCTCATGGACTACAAAAATAAAGTTACCGTCTTCTCAACGGTCAATTGCGATAAAGTCAAGTTTTGATCACTTTCACATGGGTATTCAAGTGAGGAAACTTTTCGTTTTGAATCCCATGGAAAAATTTTCAAAAACTTCAATCTAACAATACTGATTATTACATTCCAAGAGGCATTCTGCATCATCTGAGAATCATTCACCAAAACTTCACATGTTATCTACGTTTCATGTCACCACATACAAAGAATATGAGAGCTCGTCTCAATGAAACATTTATATGAAATTTTCATTAACTTTTACTGATCCTCTTCACTTACGATTAGTGATTTGCTCAAATTAATTGATCGTTCACTGTGGAATGAGTTCCAAGGTAGATTTTGCTGCAAAACTGATGAATTTAGCAGTGGTTACCTGGGTGTGTTCTCTTCGGTGATACATTCTTTGACGTTCTTCTTGAAGTCGCATTGCTTTGAAACTTGGTTGTAGTAAAGATTCGATGGGCAACGCATCGATGCCATTCTACCTTGATGACATGCTATGTAATATTCCGAGCATTGACCATTTCCATAGGTGCCGTCAGGAAGTGATGAACAATCGATTGGCGATCTGAACGAAGTGTTTGCGATATCCCCTCTTGTTTGTTGTATATTGTTCACAGCAAACAATCACTTTAACGTATTTCTTAAAAGTATCCGTTTCTGTTGCGAAATGCTTTCATAAAATGCTGACATTCCGAGCGTTTTCTGCAAATAATATCGGCAAAAGCAAAGAATTGGAAAAGTGTTCGCGATATTCAGCACGAAAGACAACAAACTAACGCTGCTGTTTGAGTGCTTTGATCTGTGCTGATCCTGAAATTAAATGTTTGCTTCATTACTCAAAATTATTCAAATTTCTCAGCTTTAACAGGAAACTCAGAATCAATATAAGACTGGAGGTTCACATTGTAATGATCTGAGAAAAAGTAGCCAAACAGGACAACTATCTCCCGATCTGATCTGTTGAGCAAATCTGTTTGCTTTCTATGGTGACATTAAAGGCTAGGAGAATTGCTTGAAAGTGTTGCTTGAAATTGCTTGAAAATATTTGATGGGGTTTTTCGTAGTATTCAAATCAAATTTGTGAATAATGAATCCAAAACATACTCGTTTTGGCATAGTGGAATATTATCAGTCAAATCACACTTCATTGAGTCGGGATTGAATTTCAAGTCGGCAGGACATTTCAAATTATATATTTGACCCAAATAACAACGCACAAATATTTGACTGCAACCAATCGCGTAAATGCCATCATTTCTACCATTGCAATCGATGTATCTCACTTAAACAATCACTCATCTTACAGATTACTTATTGGTGTAATGTGAATAGATGTTGGCCTAGCTTTTGATTAGTTTCTTCTGATTTTCAATCCATTGTTTTGAACGATACTCCCTTTTTTTGGTACAAGTTAATAATCACGGAAAAGGTTTGTTGCAACACCGTAAAAGC